TTCTCATGTGGGAAGGTATCTAGAGATCAATTAAAATATGTACTGAAAACTTATGTTAAGTAAAAAACAACAAGCCTCATAATATATGGCATCTGCTTTGTGCAAAAATGTATTCTTACACACTAGGCATTTACACATTCTCTAGCTAGAGATAAAGCAAAATTTGTTTACCGTTACTTTCTTGTTTTTTTTTTTTTTTTTGGTGGAACCAGGGATTGAACTCAGGCCCTTTTGCTTGCCAGGCAAGTGCTTATTTTACTGAGCCATCTCCCTGGCCTCTTTACTTTCTTTTTAACAGGGTAGGATTTTCTATTTTTACATGCCTTTATTTTGAAGAGAAAAAACGAAAACAATGATATACAATTTGAAAACAAGATAATAGGAAATTAACAATGGTTATTATATTGTATATTGTTGTGTTCAAAGTAGCTACTCAGATTACCAGATATAGGCATGAAAAATTAATCAAACAATATAAGCACAAACTATTCCTTTCAATGAACTAATAGGAATTAGTCGTATAATTGCCTTAGCTATCTTGTATATATATATATATATATATATAAATATTTTTCCCCTTCCTTCTTTTCTTCTTTCCCCATTCAAGTTGTTCTTTCTATTTTTAGGTATCTTTCAATGCTAGATTTTTTTTTTTTCTTTTTGAGACAAGGTCTTGCTCAAAGACAGTTCGGGCTGGCCTTGAGCTCACTTTGTAGCCCAGGCTGGTCTCAAGCTCACAGTGATCCTCCTGTCTCAGCTGGGATTACAGGCGTGCACCACTATGCCTGACTGTGAGTTATTTTTGCACCATGTTCTTATGGCTTTTGCCAGTAACAATCATAAAGCTTTATATAAAAGAAAAGAAACAACTAAGAAAATAGAACTCATTCAGCTCTCCTGTCCCTCTCTCTCTGAAAATGCGCAAGGTGACCCCTGCTGACAGGACCCAATAATGACAGAGCTGGAGAGCTGAAGCTGAGTGAGGACAGGTAGCGCAGACCCCACCAGGTGCAGTCGGGAGACCAGAGTGCCCTGGGCGGTGGCCTCGGGAGAGAGGGCTGGCAGGCCGAGGCTCCAGCAAGAGCCAGCATCGGAGCTCCCAACTCGGACGTGCCTCAGACATTGTGTCTTCCTGACCTCAGTTTCCTTTTGCACAAGTCTCCAGAATCGGGGGTGGTGGTGAGAAAGAAGTCCCAACAGCGATGCGGCTTCTTCCTCCGGAGCATCTCACCCACGGCCCCAGCGCAGGAGCAGCCCCGGGAGCGGCAGGGAGAGTTACGAGAGCATCCTAGAGCGCCAGGATCTAGCTAGAGAAAAGTGCATCTTGAAGACTGTCTGCAGCCTGAGAAGCTGCAGCGCCCTTCCAGAAACCTGACTGCCTTGTTATGCTGGCTGAGGCGGCCAAGGAGCGCACTCCTCGGCTCAGTCAGATGGCAGCTGCTTGAGGAAAGCAGACAACCATCTCTGGGGGGCTCTGGGGTGAGCCGGGAGGGGCTGGGGACAGATGAATTACCTGTCACCAGCAAACACAGCACCCAGCTGTCAGGCCGCAAGGTCCCATCTCTGTCAGACGCGAACATGGAGGGGAACGGCTCGGCCTCCAGCAGGGAGGAGGCGAGTTTAAATGCAGCCCAGCTGCTGCCAGAAGAGCTTGATGTAGGGGACAGATGGTTCCTGCCGTGGTCTCAGATTGTGTGGGAGTTGGGGTGCATTTCGGGATCTCAATCCCGGAGCCCCGGCTCACTTTGTTCTGCTTACAAACAGGGGGCCTCAGAAGCAGCGACTGCTCCACTACTCCTTGCTTCACAAGTCATGGTGATCTCGCCGTGTGCCTGGCTTTACTCAACAAAATGTATCTGAAAAGGTATACCTGAAGGGAATCAGCCCAACAGGCCCTGCTGGCAAAAGGCTAGAACATACTCGCAGGGGGAATGGATCGAGGACCTCGTGGGATCTCTACGGAGGAGCTGTGCTCTCTTAGTTAATGATTTCTTTTCTGTTCGAATTTGCACAATAAGCATGAAGTTTATAAGCAAGAAAGATGCATTTTATTTAACAGAAGCTGTTGGTCCTTGCTGAAATCTAGGTGGTAGGGTGGTCACCCTTCGATGTATCTGCTTATCATCAGAGGTCAGTTATTACAGGCAGAGAAAAGGCCCATAATCTCTGAGTGATGGTCCTGCTCCCTGAAGAAGCCCTCTGTGGCTGTGAAGCGACCAGCTCTTCATTTCTCAGCCTGTCTTTACCTATTGATCTTTTTGCATTTCAAGTTTTACAAAAGAGCAATGTATCCTCCCTGTCTTCAATTTTACTAGCCAGAAATGGCCAACAGGGTACCAGAATGGGACTAATGGATGTGGAGGAACATCAGGTCGCTTGTGACACAGGGACTGGCAGGGGTGGGCTTTGACTTGTCCCCCAGACATCCTGGAGAAGGCTTACGTAAGCAACAACACATCACAGAAGGGGTAGTGATAATCCAGCTGAACGATGCTTCACCCCTTCCATGAGCCTGTGGACAATGCCACCAGGCATCTGAGTTCCTCTGGGCAGATGGGGTCACCATGCAGAAGAACGTGGGGTAGACTCTTCAGCTCGCTCCATGATTGGCCATGTCCAGGGAAGTCCCTGCCACCCCCAGGTAGCCTCAGATCCTCCAGGGGAGGGAGAAGGGCTTACTAAGGAGAAGAATGAAAGTAAAGAAGAGGACCCTGAGGTCGCAGCTCAGCCGTGAAAGTGAAGCCTCCAGAGCCAGGCTGCATGGGGCAAACCCACTCTATGCGCCAGCCCTGTGACCTCAGGCAAGGCTCTAAGGCTCTCTGTGCCTGTTTTCCAAGTACAATAAGGACAACAGTACTGTCCATATCATGGGGTGACTGCAGGATTAAATGCACTAAGATGACACAAAATGCTAAGAACACATTAGGTACCATAGAAATGTTAGCAGCTGCTGCTGTCACCACCCTAAAATGTCTGAGGCTCTTCTGTTAACTTTCTGGGCAGAGAGCAAAAGGTTTTCTAACAATGTTTTCTATCAACTTCCCACCTCTAAGCAAGAAGGATACAGTTGTAGTCAGAGCTTTTGGATATTAACGTCAATTATCACAGATCTTCATTTACACGGATCATCACATTGCTTGTGCTTGCCTGGCATGTACCTCACGCAGGTGCTTTCATAAAAATCTTAGAGCCTCTAAGGCGAACAGGGATGCCCCTGGGTACCGCTGGCAGATTGGTGCAAGAGAACCCTGATGTGAGGCTAAGCCAGAGTCACACACTGAGCTTCAAGCCCAGCTTGACTCCTGGTTCCCTGCATCCCAATTGCCAACATCCGCATCTGATCTGCTAAGGCCTGAGGCAGGGTCAAGCAGATAAATTATACAAACCAGGTGAAAATCTGTCTTACTTCTTTTAAAATTTGTGCATTTGGTACAGGGTCTCACTACACAGATCAGACTCATGGTGCTCCTCCTGTTTTCGGCCTCCCCAGTGCTCAGATTACAGGCATGCCCCGCCACACCCGTACTCTGTCACTGGCTCAGCATGCCCCGGGGGTGGGGCCGGTGCAGGATGTGGGACTGGGGATTGAACCCTGGAACCTCTACTTTCCAAAGCAGGTACTTTGTCTGCTGAGCTATCTTGTTGGCTCTTTTTACTTCTTAAAGCCACTCACAGGCAAGATATTGTCTCTATGTAAGGAACAAAGCCTTAGAGAAGTAGAGAGGCCTGTGTGAGGCCACACACCTGGGGGGCTTCAGGCTAGGACTTGAACCTACCTCTCTGGTCTCTAACAGCCCAGGAAAGGGCCTCTGGCTCTGTGGTCTGCAGTGGAGGGTGAGAATGAGGCCCAGGACAGAGCCCAGAGCGTTCCTCATCATGCCACTCCCTCTTCCACCGCACTATCTCAGTTGATCCCGCTGTCTTGTGCTCAGACCCCAGGACAGAGTCCTGGTGTGTGCTCTGGACCCCAGCTCGCCTATCACTGACATTTCCCCATATTTGCCACCAGAAGACCCGAGGGTTGTGCCGGCCTGGGCATAGCTCTTGGGCCTCCAGCAGCTTCTCTCCCTTTCTCCCTTCTCCAGCTCAGCAGGACAAATAAACAGGCAAGACAGAGCCTCCTGGCCCCAGGCCTCTGCACCCTTCCCACCCCCAGGCTGATAAGCGACACTTCATGGTTTGCTCCTCCGAGGTTTCCACTGCCCGGAACCCATGCGGGGCTGCACAGCAAGGCCCGCTTTGAAGAGGAGGCCACGCTGCATGCTGAGGAGAGAGAGACAGGCTGCAGCCGCAGGCAATCAGCGCAAATCAAAAGCTCGCATGTCCAGGCCAAAGCACTCCCCAGGCGCCCCCTAGCAGAGTTCAGGCAGAGGCAAGTGCATTCTTCTCCCTTCTCCCTCCGAGCTATCTCCCCCTCTCCCACCCCAGCCCTCCTTGGGCCCAGTGCAGCTGGAAGGCAGGAAAGCGTTGAAACTAAAGAGAAGAGAGTTGTTACGGCCAGTGGGAAAAGGAAATAAAGCCTTAGGGTTCTGGGGGACGTTATTTACAGAGAAGAACAAAACTAGAAACAGAAAAGCAGCAGGAGCCAGCCAACTGTTCCCCCAAGGGGCCAGTCATCACCATCAGTAACGGGCCTTGCTGTCAAACACTTTCACTTTCTGGATCGAGTTGTGGAATGTCCCTCACACAGGAAATGGTCTACTTCCATAAAACATCAGAAACTCAAGACACAAAGGCTCAACCCCCACCCCCCACCAGCCACTGTTGAATGCTAGGAGGTCAGTGTATGCCTTTGATTTTAAGTCACTATGTCAGCTTTTTGGCCACGTGTTGCAATGCTGTCTGGAGTGGACAGAGCCACTCTGGACCTCTGTTGGGGGCCACTTTTCCGATGGCCACAAGGCCACATCTGCACAGCTTCACCCCAGCCGAGACAGAGCAGGTTGACACAGATGCCACCGAGATGAAAAAGACAAGGGAGAACACGCTTCTGTACTCACACTTGTCCCAGACGCAGCTGGAGGAAAGGCAGGATTGGACTGTGCAAAGGGCCTCGCTGGAATGGCTGCGAAAGATGCCGTCCCAAGAGTCGAGGCATAATCTGAATTGCAAATGACAGAAAGCCCCACGGTGAGCTTGACCTCCAAGGACCATGATTAGGACACACATGGGAAGGAAGACTGAATTTCTTCTAACACATTCAGCTGGGACTGGTGAGACCCCACATCTGCGAGTGCAGGAATCAGCAAAGCTGCATGGCTATCGTGTCCAGAACACACGTGGGGGGCCCAGCGTGGGCTGGGTCCTGGCTCTGCCTGCTTTGCGTATAGGAAGGGCCCATCAGAGACATCCTGGCTCTTAAAGACAGGACATAAAGGGAGCCTGTGGGCTGCTGATTTCCGCTGCGAGCCCCGGACTTACCTTCATTCCCAGCGGGGTTATAAACAGCTGCGTTGTTAGGGGAGGGGCCCAGAGTTCCTTCTGCTGAAGTGAGCACACACCGGATGCCAGCACTGCAGAAGGGGGAGAGGGGGACCCGTTCCTCAACAGGTTAAATGAAGATTGACCCAAAATTCAGAAATTCCAGCCCAGGCCCAGCCCCCAAATGGGTGAAGAAGTGCTAGAGCAAACATCTGTATATGACCTTCATAGCCTCAGGATGGCCAAAGGCAGAAACAGCCCAGATGCCCATGAGACACAGAGTGGATGAGAAACGGGCTACACACACCACATGGCAGACCGTGAAGGCTGCATGCACCACGGCGGGGTCAAGTCTTCAAGACACTATGCTACATTTTAAGGGCCAGTCACAGCAGTCCATATGCTACGCCATTCTGTTCATATGAGACGTTCAGAAGAGGCAAATCCAGAGAGACCAAAAGCAGATGGTGGCTTCCAGGGGCCGGAGAAGGGTGGGAAGGAGGGGACCACTCGGAGAGTCGAAGCTTCCTGGACTAGACAGTGGCTGTATTTGAACAGCTTCAGAAATGTGCTAGATTCCACTAACCCTGAACTGAAAAATGCTGAGTCTCAGGTGAATTTTAGTACAACAAGAAAATGAGGGATCCAAACAAAGAGGATCTTGTAAAATTTGTTTGTTAACTTGTGGTAAGATACGCATAGCGTAAAGCTCACCATGTTTCCCACTTCTCGGTGTATGGTTCAGGCATTAGCACGGCCGTATGCTCCACAGCCAGCAGCAGCAGCCCTCTCCACAACGCCACAGCTTGCAAAAGTGAAACTCTACCCTCTAAGCAGTCAGCCTCCTGCAGCCTGATGAGCACTTTTTGTACTGTTTCTCTCGTTTTAAAAAAGTTTTAATCGTTTATTCATTTATTTGGTACAGGGTCTCACTATGCAGCTCAGACTCATAGTGATCCTCCTGTCTCAGCCTCCCCAGCACTGGGATTATAGGTGTGTGCCACTATGCCTGGTTTCAGTGGCTGGCACAGCATGCCCAGGGTACCAGGGCTGACACAGTATGCAGTACCAGCATTGAACCCTGGGCCTCGTGCTTGCCAGGCAGGTGCTTAGACCACCAAGCTGTCTCTCCATCCCATTTCTCTGTGTTTGTCCTCTTTAAATACCCAAATGTACAACATTCATCCTTTTGTAACTGGCTTTATTTCATTTAATGAAATGTCCTCGAGGTTCAAACGTGTAGTATTCCTTCCTTTTCAAGGCTGGATAACATTCTATGGTGTGTTAATCTATTCCTCTGTCTATGAAATCATTGGTTGCTTTCTTTTTTGAACACATAATAAGGTGAGGCACACATTTTAAATGCACACATCTCAAAACTTTGAGCCCCAGCTCTCTGTCCTGTACCCTCAGGTCAGACAATCTCTCCTCCATCTTACTGGTCTGTGGTTTCTGCCCAAGCCCACCAGCAGCTCTGTGTAGCACCAAACTTGGGATTCTGGTCAGCACACCCTGAGTTTATTACTCCTCTGCAGAGTGCTCTAACAGGTCGCTGCAACAGTACTCAGAGCAAACCCAAAAGCCTTCCAACAACCAAGGGCTCTGGACTTGTGCCTGCTGCTTAGGGCCAGCATGCATGAGTGCGCTCTCTCTCTCTCTCTCTCTCTCTCTCTCTCTCTCTCTCTCTCTCTCTCTCTCTCTCTCTCTCACACAAACACACACACCTGCGCTGCACCCCACCACTGCTTCTGATTCACAATTACACTGGGAATATCATCACTCATTTTGCATGTCATCCTCCTCCCATGTTGTGCCTGATCACCAGGAGGGCAGGGACTTTGCCTGCTTTGCACTCTGCACTTCCCCGACTACCGGCACAGAGTGCGAGCCACCCACTCCGCTTGGTGAGTGCTTGTGCGCATGCGCAAGCCGGCTCTCACCGGCACTTACTGTTCAGAGAAGACCAGGCATTTCTGAGCGTGCAGTTTTCCTTTCACATGCAGCTCCCAGTCCTAGGTCAGGAGAAAGGAAAAAAATGATTAAAGCAGACTGAATTCACAGGGAGGCCGAGATGCAGGGAGCACCAGCCCTGCAGGCACCTGGCCCTCGGCCTCCTCTCATCCTGCCCTCGCTCCATTCCTCTGAGCCCTCATCTTGTGCAGCAGACCTGAAAGTCAGTCTCTCTCCTTACAGCGGACCCTTGTGCCCACCGCCAACCCTTTCTGTCTCGCACAGAGACCCCTCACATTTCTGAATGCAGCTGGGAGACGCTGGCAGGCAGATTCACGGGAATTATGAAGCCTCAGAAAAGGCTTATGAGAGGCAACATCCTGGACTTCCTTCCAGGGCCAGCCAGTCTGCTCCCTGGGATGGAGGCACGAGGGTGCGTGCTGTGAGGGTCCGGGGATGCACCTGGAGGATGCAGCAGGCAGGGGTATCAGCTGCAGGGTGTCCCCCCTAAGAAGGGACTTCACCTGGCCTGAAAGCAGGGGACTGGCTGAGCGATGGGAGACACGGTAGCCCAGGACTGAAGCCAGGCATGCTCAGACCACAGTTTTGGCTTTTGGTTTCTGCTTTTCTTATTTCAGTGTTAGGAACACACCCATGGCCTCCTGAGTGCCAGGCAGGCTCCATCACAGAGCTGCCCCTACGTCTGAATCCTACATCTGATTTCCACTCTGCACTGCCGAGGTAGGAGCTCCACAGCAAATCATTTCACCATTCTGAGCAATTTCACTACTCCGAGCATCCGTTTTTTCATCTGTGGAAGGAGGACGGTAGCAGCGCTGCAGCTTCCCCTAGCCGCTGCGCACACACGGAAAGCAGCCAGGACGCCAGCTATTACCATGATTGCTCTGGAATATTTTAATGTATCACGAGTACATATTTGGAGGGAATTATACTACAATGGGCTTTAGTTTGCAGCTGTCTGAAGTATTTTTCTACCCCTGGGAAAGCGTTGCAAGTCTCTCCACAGTGCAGATGTAGCAGCCACGGGCCTTTATAATAATCTGTCTAGGTCTCACCCAGAAATCGCTCTCTTGCCTCTGATCCTGAATCCCACTCTTCTCTTCTTTTGAAACTCAGCACAACACATGTTCTCAAGGAAAGGCAGCTACCACAGAAGAAAAGGCCTTGCCAGGAGGCTGGGGCCCAGCAGCTGCCCCAGAGGAGAAGGATGCAGGAGCCCAGAGCCTGAGCACCCCCTCTGCAGGGCAGGTGGGCTTTTTGCTCCCTTTCCCCTCAGCCTCAGCTTCTCATCTATCAACAGGGAAGGAATCTCTTACTGGCCTTAAAGCAAGGAACTGGCCGTAACACATTTCCGAAATTCCTCTGGGTTCTAATATCTAATAATGATCTAATCTAATCTAACATCTAATCATGATTTGAGCAAGCAGCTGGGTGCAAGGTTCAGTTTCTCCGGGTGAGCACCACACTTTGAGGTGGGGCTCCAGGTCCATCTCAGACAACTCACCTTCAAGTCAAATACCTTCTTGTCGCACATGCTACAGATGTGCGGCATGCGGAGGGGTGCCACACCGTGGAAATCATTCAGCTCATGAGCTTGCAGGGGTGGTGCAGACAGCAGGGCCTGCTCCTCCTTGGGCTGCCGCCGGGCACTGACAAAACCCTGCTTGCTGTTGTTGAGCCGAGCCCCAAAGGAAGGGGGAGTCCTGTCTGCGGTGGGTTCCTCAGGGTCATACAGTTCATATGGCTGGCTGGGGGGTGGAGGCCACAGGTTGGCACCTGCTGTCAGGTCAGCCTTGCTTTGGCCGGGGAATCCAGGAGGGCTCTCCCACTGGCTGTTTGCACCCTGCAGCAGTGGCCCGATCTCACTTTTCATGCCCGCTGCCTGCTCAGCTGGAAATCCTGCTGCCATGTTTGACCCTTGTGCATTGGGTCCGTAGAAGTCTTTAGAAAAGGTGGCCTGGCCATCTTGCCCTGCATGGCTGTAGTGCCCTTCATAGGTTACGCTGCCTGAGGCGGAGGCCGAGGCTGGCAGGAAGCCAGGCTGACCATCTGCTTCGGAGCCATAGGCCTGGCCGGTGCCGGCCTTGCCATACTCGTAGAATCCCGTGGTAGCCGGGGCAGGCCCAGCCTTGCCAATGCCCAAGATGACTGCTGGTTGGGCTGGGCTCTGGGCCATCACCCCACCAAAAGGATGCACCACTATGGCGCTGGGAGGCTGGCTGGGGAGGCTCACAGAGGGTCCTGGGCCTCGAGTTTGGCCAGGGGTTGAAAAGGCCATTGTGTTTGAGGCGAACCGGGCACCCGCAATGCTCGCAGCATGCTGGGGCACCGCAGCGTGGCCATGGGGGGTGCTGAGCACAGACGGATGTCTCAACTGGTTGAAGAGGGGTTGGGACATGGCCACTTTGGAGAGGACCTGGTTCAGGACGGTGGCGGCTGCGGTGTTGTTGGTGACTGCCGTCTGTGCCAGCTTCAGCCGGTGGAGGGTGAGCTGGGCCTGCAGCTGGGCCAGCTGGAGACTGGCAGGCGAAGGGAGCAGAGGACTCGGGTTACAGACAGAGAACGGGGCCTTGTCCAGGAGCTTGGCGGCACTGCAGAGAGACAAGAGTTCTAGATGCATGGCTGGCTCTCAGCGAGAGAGACCAGGGGCTGCTTGTGCTTCCCGGAGGCCCCTCCTCTCACATATGTGAGAGGGACCCACATTCACACGGGCTCACACACTAAGAGCAAACCAAATCGGCACTAGAAAAGTGATACAACAGGACTAAGCACCTGCTTAGACAAGCGCAAGGACTGGGATTCGATCCCCGGCACCACATGCCCCACCGGCCCTGCCCCTAGGCACACTAAGCTGGCCACCAAGCCACCAAGACAGGACATGGTGGCCCCTGCCTGTAATCCCAGCCAGGAAGGCTGAAAACAGGAGGATAGCTACAAATCCAAGCTGCGTAGTGAGGCCCTATATCAAATACATAAAAAAGTAAATAAAAACAAATAAAAGAAAAGTGATATAACAATGTTGGATCTCTTCAGTAGTTGGGAGCATAAATCAAAATTGTGAGAAACAAGTATTTGCCTAGTGAATCACCGAGATTAAAAATAATAACTGTAACCAGTGCTGGAGAGATTAAGTGGCACAGACATGATGTCAGCGAGCTGTGAACTCAGAGCTTTGGGAGACGGCTTGGATTGTGCATTTGCTGCAGTCAGGTCCTTTGACCTCGTAAGTCTATAAAACTCTCCAAAGGTAAGAGCTTCATACCTGAAAATGTTTAACGTTAAGTCCTTACTTAAGAGTCCAAAACTGAGGGCCTGTGAGATAGCTCAGCAGTCCAAGTGCCTGCCTGGCAAGCGCAGGGACTGGGATTTGATCCCTGGCACCACATGCCTGCTTGCCTTGCCCCCAGACATGCTGTGCTGGCCACCGAATCTGGGCATGGTGCTGTACACCTGTAACCCCAGAGCTGGGGAGAGTGAAAACAGGAGGCTCACTATAAGTCTGAGATGCATAGTGAGACCCTGTACCAAATACATAAATTGAAGAGTCCAAAATTGAAAATTACAAACAACCACTAATGGGAAGAGACCCTTGTCCTCAGCAAATTAGGACATCTCTACCCAGTCAAAAATCAGGTAACCATGTCCTATTCTTTTTTTTTGTGGAACTGGGGATTGAACTCAGGCCCTTGTGCTTGCCAGGGAAGCGCTTACTCCACTGAGCCATCTCTCCAGCCCCAACCATGTCCTATTCATGTTTAAATTTCTACTTTATTATATAACATTAAAAACATCTGAAATGTGTGCCCAAGAACCAAGCCTACCACAGAAAGCATTCCAATGTGCCAAATCCGCCCCCATGGTTACCACTCTACCAGCCCCACCCCTTCCCCACCATTGCCAATGGTAAACACTGCCTGTTGTTATGGTGGGTTTTATTTGTTTGTTTGCTTATTTATAGTCCCAGCTGGCTGTGAATTTATCAACACAATCCTCCTGCCTCAGCCTCCCAAGTGCTGGAATTACTGGCATGTGCCACCATACCCAACTAAATACTACCTTGAATTTGGTAAGGTCACCAGTTACAGAGAAAAAAGTCCCTGCAATTTACATTGAAGCTATGAGAAAGTCCAGAGGCTTCATGGTAAATGAAAACAATCAAGCTTCCAAACTGCACACAGAATGAACTGCACATATATTTATGCCAAACATATTTTCACCTATTCTCATTTCACATCCAAGAATAACAACCCATTTCGAAAACACAGCTAGTATAAAGAATAAATCCTAAAGTGTCAGGCAAAAAGCTCTGAATCTGAGGTAGTCATAGGCAGTGGTCTGCCCTCTCCGACCTGACTGGGAGATGGAAAGGGCTGCCCTCCTAGCTGACAAGCACCATTCATGTCCCCTGTGCGGGTTGGGGACAGTGTGCAGGACTGAATTGTGGTCTGGAAGCGGAACAGACTTTCCCAGAGTCTGGGCTGTGTGCTTAGCACAGTCCAGGTTCTCGAGTAAGACCAGGAGGTCTGGGTCTTCAGCTCCCCTTGTGGGAAGGAGATGTAATCAAGAAACAGGTACGCGGGGCTGGTGAGATGGCTCAGTGGTCTAAAGCACCTACTTAGAACAAGCTTAACAAAGCACAGGGACCGCGGTTCAATCCCCCAGCACCACATGCCAGCCAGCCCTGCACCCTGGTGGGCTGAGCTGGCCACACACACACATAAATAAAATAAATAAATAAATAAATAAATAAGAAACAGGAGAGACTGGTGAACCGGAACTCCGGGACATTTTCCAGGAAGAATGGGACGGCCAGACAATGATCAGCAGGCTGAGAAATGGATGGCAGTGGGAAAGCAGAACTGGAACACTTTTGTCTCCACTGTCCCAGATGCTGTACAATAAAAGTACAATAATAATGAAGCCAGAGAGAGAGAGGCTAGGGGAGGCTCAGGAAAGAATGGCAAGAGTGTGGTATGCCACACTGCTTTCACTTCGAAGACATGAATGTCACACCTGCCCCACTCTCAGGACACTGTCAGGAAAGAAAGCCACCCTTAGGTCTGTGTTTTGCAGGAGGAGGGGCGTGGGAGAGACTCCTCTTGGTCACCACAGCTACTGAGCCACCATGCCATCTCAATGGCCCTCCCCAGTGGTCCCACAGGCTGGGTGATTTTCATGCATCTTGTGGGGCAAGGATCTACAGCTCTGTGGGATTATGTGACCACTTCATGAACACCAGGGCTGCTGAGTACAGGCTTTGAAAAGAGGAGAAGTAGCAGCTTCCCCTCCCCCGTGGAGTGGTCTATCCTCCCGGGCCATTTGCCTGTTTTGTTTGAAGTGAGTTCCCAGAACACCAGGCACACCCACACTCAAATGTAAGTACAGAACACAGTTCAGAGCCAGATTAAAAAAAAAAATGACTTTTTTATCCCATGTGTGCAAAAACATCAGAAACGGCTGTAAGCTGTTAAAAAGAGATACCCGGCTAGCAGCCCTGCAGAGCTCCCTGGGGCAGACCCACAGGGAAGGAGGGCACCAAGTTGAAAGGTCGTTATGGATCTTTTCTCTTGGAGGTAGGGAGAGGTGTGCTGTGCTGGGTGCAGCCAGGTCTTGGGGACGTCCGAGTGCTGTACTAATCCCAGCAGCAGCGCAGGAGGAAAAGATTGTCCAGGTGGACAAGAATGCAGAAGGGAGAGGGGGATGGTCCAGACGGGTGATAGATCCTGGCCTGTGTGGTATTAAGTAGCCAAGCTTTAGAAGAGCAGCGAAGCTTAACTCAAAACCCAGGGCCAAGCCTTCCTCCCAGGTCTGTGCACCACGCACACTGTTCTTACTAACAAGGCGATAATGAGGTGCCAATTTGGTTTCCATGGCCAGAGAAAGACAAGGTTGGTTTTGTTTCCCTCCCATCCCCCCCAGAGAAGTCAGCTGCATTTTCTAAACTTGCATTCTGGGCTGGAGGGAGCGCTTGCTGGAGGTTTATCCCCTTTGCTTGCAAGCTCTGCTAAGCCAAGCACCCTGGTATTTGTAGGTCGGCTGTGGGAGCAGAAGACGGCCAAGCTGCAGAAGTCTACGCATTCAGACCCAGCTGGAACAAGAGCACTAGCGTAGTCTCTTGTGAACCGCTCTTGGCCTATCAGGCTCTTCTTTCAGGGGTGCAAGGGTCTTTCATGGTGCTGGGACTGAAGCTAGGGCCTTCTCCCTGAGCTACACCCCCAGACCTTTTCTATTTATTATTTTGAGACAGGGTCTCACTAAGTCGCCCAGGCTGGACTCAAACCTGCAACTCTCCTGCCTCAGCATCTCTGAGTCCTGGAATATCCATGTCTGCCCCTATCTATGCCCAGCTCTTCTGGCAAATTCTTCTGGATTCCAACTTTATTTTTGGGGGATGGAACTCAGGACCTTGCACTTGCCAGGCAGGCACTTAAGCCACTGAGCTATCTCCCCAGCCCAACTGGTATCATTTCTAATGTGCTTTTCAAGCTATTTTTTTATTTTCTTTAAAATTTAAAAAAAAAAAGTGGATTTCGGGACTGGCCAGATAGCTCAGCGAACTAAAGCGCCTGCTTAGGTAGAGTGCAGCAGTTGGGGTTCAATCCCCAGCTTGTTGTGCCGGCCCTGCCCCCAGGGGCTCACCGAGATAGAGATTGAGACTAGGTGTGGTGGCACGTGCCTGTAATCCCAGCACTTGGGAGACTGAAAACAGGACAATCATTATGAGTCCGATCTCCATAGTGAGACCCTGTAGACCACATAAAAAGTGGATTTTGCATAAAATCCTCAGAGCTAAATTCTTCTCTTGAACCTAAATCTTAGAATAATGGAGAAAAGATACCTCATTTTATAAGTCCAAAAGCCCTCATCTGCAAGAGCAAATAACCTACAGTGCAGGCGCACGCAGGCATCGCAGGGGATGTCTTTATGAGCCATTTCCCTGCTTTGTTTGAAGTGAGTTTCCAGAACACCAGGCACACCCACACTCATGCACAAGTACAAAACACATTTTTGAGCCAGATAAAAATGACGCTGTTGTTACCCTGTCCCAACTGTGTGAAAAATCAAGTTCCACAAAAGAAGGACTGTGTCTTGGGGACCCCTGTGCCTCCCCAGCATGCTGCCTCTCACTTGGCGTGACAAGAGAAGGAAGAAGGGAGCTGATGGCCGCGGCCCGCCAGGCCCTGGGGACCCTGGATGACACAGACCCCCTCTCTGTGAGTGCACATTCTATGGAGGATATGGACCTCAGAACCTTGACAAAGGAGCCCCTAAATATACCCCGAGAACAGGTGGGTTTTGCTGTTGTGTAGCTAAACATCCAAGCAAGCACACATTTGCCCACCTAGGCTACCACTCCAGTGCCCCATTCCTACACAGGCATTTCAATATGCCCTTCTTTTGGGGCCGGGGAGACAGCTCAGTGGCATAAGTGCCTGCCTGGCAAGTGCAAGGTCCTGAGTTCGACCCCTGTTACAACACACAAAAAATCTGATGATCAATATGCCCTTCTTCCTAAGTCTAGCTTCTGAGATTGCACAGATAATTGAATAATGATCCATGGAGGATGTTCATTTTCTAATCCAAAGAGACT